CTCGATACAGATAGTTTTGCGGTGGCAATTTGGATGGATGCTTGGGATGAATGAAAGAAAGGATTTCAATTTTCAAAATTCGGGACGTAAGGGTAATTGCGATCAAATGGTTCCAGCGATGGCCTGAACCATTTGATGATGCGCTCATAACCCGGCTGGCCAGGCAAATGGCCGGCCGGGGTAAGAGTGCAGGTGGCGCCGCGCTGCGGTGGCGTCAGTGGCGCCACGTCATGGCAGCAACAGTAAACACAACGCTGCCTGTCATCCCCGTCCGCGTTCAGCTGCTTATCCGCCTCGATTCGGACAGACGCTTTTTTGCGAATTGTACTTACGTCGTTGCGGGACGACTGCACTTACGTCATTGCGGGACGGCAGGTCGCATCATGACCGGATAGCAGCAATGGAACTCCGCGTGGGTTATTGGCGCTTGCTCATCTCGGGGCGTTCACCGAGAGCGATCTCCGTCGCCAGAGGTGAAGCATATCCGGCCAAGAGACCACACGGAAGCTGATCCCCAGGCAGCTGGGACTTTCGGCGGGGTATCCAGATCCCGAGGCAGCTGGGCCTTTAAGCTGGGTATCCAGATCCCCAGGGAGCTGGGCTTTTAAGCGGGGTATCCAGGTCCCCAGGCAGCTGGGCTTTTAAGCGGGGTATCCAGATCCTCAGGCAGCTGGGCCTTTAAGCGGGGTATCCAGATCCCCAGGCAGCTGGGCTTTTAAGCGGGGTATCCAGATCCCCAGGCAGCTGGGTTTTTAAGCGGGTATCCAAATCCCGAGGCAGCTGGGCTTTTAAGCGGGGTATCCAGATCCCCAGGCAGCTGGGCTTTTAAGCGGGGTATCCAGATCCCCAGGCAGCTGGGCTTTTAAGCGGGGTATCCAGATCCCCAGGCAGCTGGGCCTTTAAGCGGGGTATCCAGATCCCCAGAGAGCTGGGCCTTTAAGCGGGGTATCCAGATCCCCAGGCAGCTGGGCTTTTAAGCGGGGTATCCAGATCCCCAGGCAGCTGGGCCTTTAAGCGGGGTATCCAGATCCCCAGGCAGCTGGGCTTTTAAGCGGGGGTATCCAGATCCCCTGGGAGCTGGGCTTTTAAGCGGGGCATCCAGATTCCTAGGCAGCTGGGCTTTTAAGCGGGGTATCCAGATCCCCAGGCAGCTGGGCTTTTAAGCGGGGTATCCAGATCCCCGGGCAGCTGGGCCTTTAAGCGGGATATCCAGATCCCCAGGCAGCTGGGCCTTTAAGCCTAACGGTTGGCCGTCCTCCGCCATCGCTCCGAAGTTGGGATCTTTTATCTCCGATGTATTCACTTTGGCATCACTGGAAACAGCATGCCAGGAAAACCCAGTTATGAGACAGGAGCACCAGGTTTGAGACGGGAATATGACATAGATTTCAAATATGTCACAAAGTGATATTTTGCTTACAACATGTGTATTTGCATGTCTGAAATAATTACATCAGACAAACTTGGCTCAAAAAGGCATTGCTATTTCTACAAACACGTTGCAAGTGCTAAGCATCACAACGTCACACCCATGCTACACCGAAAAAATACTACACCCAGAACATTACTTAGAGTCTAACCATGTATTTAGCGCGATACCAACTGGTGAAAACTTATTAATAGGCACAACACACTCATGCCTCACACAGGTGTAAGGCATGAGTGCCATGCACATGTAATGTGAAGTGAATGAAAAATCCATAAATTTTGCCGCATCAGAGCGATAGACGTAAGACAAGTGTTAAAAACCATTATGTAGAAGCCTGCATATACGACGCTGTCAGTGCTTTTAACCTTTTATTTGAGTCTTAGAATATAGCTTGAGAACGCCTGGACGCCTAGAAACAATCCACCCAAAGTCAGCCAGTCTAAAAGCCAGCCATTCAAACATGCGCATAGTTTTCAATCGTTTTGGTTTGAGATAGGTTTTGAGCATTTTCGCTTGATATAACCGACACAATATTATAGTTCGTCAAAACCTCGGCTCCACACACTGAAATTGGTGGCGACCGGTGGCACTTGATAGCATTGCTTTTTTCAGTCTGGGAGCGAGGTACTCACGCGGACACAGTCATATGATTACACCTCACCCGGCCGTCCTCGCAAACGCGGCACTTGCGATGCCCAAATACAATTGTGTAAATCCACTGAAACGGCTCAGCAAATGCCGCAGCGGCGCAGCAGAGCCGGAGTGTTCGCGTTCGCGTTCGAAACACGCACTCAGCAGCAAAATCTGACATTTAGCCAATGACCCTCCGAATATTGGACCATTTGTGCCGTATCATCGCTAATACGAATGTATGAGCGACCACGCTGTTCTTCAACCATGAGCAGACTGTGAGATGGCAGTATTTGTATGACGTTCTATGGCGTCACGCATGCCTGGACGACCTTGAAATAGTCTTGTGCAAGATTGTCTGCACATCTTCGCGGCCTCCAATCTCAGGGATTAGAAGGGTTTAGGCCTTAAAAAAGGTATGGTGGTGAGCCGCATTGAATGCTCTTCAATGCGGCCTTTCAGTTCAAAACCCCATACAAATGCGAAAGACACTTCCTTCAAGCGCTCCGGGCATAACTCCGTGTCATATATGCTCATTATAAAGACGGTTGTGTATGAGATGTGCCGCGGCGTTGAACGATGAAAACACGGCGACCATGTCATGGCGTCGTTGCCCCCGGCGAATGACCACGCAAGACTCAGGGTCAACTACTTTTGCAAGCGATGACTTCAGTTACTTTACGCTCATGCGCTTAACATCAGTTCATCTCTGTCCACTAAACTCGTGGCAGCAGAGCGTTCCAACGCATTTGTGGCCCCATTCGTATGAGCTGCCGAGGGCGCCGGGCTCCATTTGCTCATGCTTCGGTGCCATCTGTGTGATGATGACCAGCACGTCTTCAGTCACCTCACTCGTCACAAGCCGAAGAAGACGTCTTGCGGGATGTATCAGATCGAATGCCGGTACCACTACCATTCACCAAAAGCCAGCGGTGGTGCGTGACGAGCTGGTGGATCTGCGAACTACGAAGCGTTTGTTGCATGCGTGCCTCTTTGCGCCGGGATGTTTTTTCGGTTGTATTGCTGTCGGATCGCAGTGATTCGCCAATTTCATGACTTAAGATCGGTTACCGACGGCACATGGGGGGACTTTGTTTTGATTTAATAACACCAGTCAGTCAAATAGCTGCATATAAGTGTGCTGTACAAATACATTCCAAACTGAAATAGTAAGCGCGCTTCGTACTTAGACATGTGCGAATGGGGCCTGATGTCACCGTTTGCTTTTTTTCTGAAGAGTACGTTTAGCAAATAACGAAACAGTAACACCGTTGCTTCAAGGGGCCGAATCCTCTTTACTTTGTTGTAAAGTGTCGCTATTTAAGGTGGACGTGCGTGACAGCCGACTGCCGCTTGCGAAGCTTCACAGCGCCGGTGTGCCCGTACGAAGCTTCACGGCGCCGGTGTGCCCGTACGAAGCTTCACGGCGCCGGTGTGCCCGTACGAAGCTTCACAGCGCCGGTGTGCCCGTACGAAGCTTCACGGCGCCGGTGTGCCCGTACGAAGCTTCACAGCGCCGGTGTGCCCGTACGAAGCTCACAGCGCCGGTTGTGCCCGTACGAAGCTTCACAGCGCCCGTGTGCCCGTACGAAGCTTCACGGCGCCGGTGTGCCCGTACGAAGCTTCACAGCGCCGGTGTGCCCGTAGGAAGTTTCACAGCGCCGGTGTGCCCGTACGAAGCTTCACGGCGCCGGTGTGCCCGTACGAAGCTTCACGGCTCCGGTGTGCCCGTACGAAGCTTCACAGCGCCGGTGTGCCCGTACGAAGCTTCACGGCGCCGGTGTGCCCGTACGAAGCTTCACGGCGCCGGTGTGCCCGTACGAAGCTTCACGGCGCCGGTGTGCCCGTACGAAGTTTCACGGCGCCGGTGTGCCCGTACGAAGCTTCACGGCGCCGGTGTGCCCGTACGAAGCTTCACGGCGCCGGTGTGCCCGTACGAAGTTTCACGGCGCCGGTGTGCCCGTACGAAGCTTCACAGCGCCGGTGTGCCCGTACGAGGCTTCACGGCGCCGGTGTGCTCGTACAAAGCTTCACAGCGCCGGTGTGCCCGTACGAGGCTTCACGGCGCCGGTGTGCCCGTACGAAGCTTCACAGCGCCGGTGTGCCTGTGCGAAGCTTCACGGCGTCGGTGTGCCCGTACGAAGCTTCACAGCGCCGGTGTCCCCGTACGAAGCTTTACAGCGCCGGTGTGCCCGTGCGAAGCTTCACGGCGCCGGTGTGCCCGTTCTATAGCTTCAGACATACCATCCTGCGGGGATGTGACAATCCGTACACCATATTCCGACTCCGAGGCATGCGGACGGAAATTCCAGCCAACTGCATCCAGCGAGCCACAAGTAATATGACTGCAGCCAAGGTTTCTCACGCATCATATGCCTAGACGCGCTGTATGCATGCCTCGTGTGCCCCGTGTTCTTTTCAGCCTAAGCTTGTCTGTCCCCTCTTCTCGCATCGTTGCCCTAGCAAAATGTAACCGAGTAAGAATGTTGTGCCTTGGTAGTTAAATGAAAAAGCGGCTTATTTATACGCAATGCTGTAAAGGAATTTAAAGCTGCCTTTGTATTCAAGACAACAGACGAACGCTACGGTTACAATAAATCGCCAACCCGCCATGTCCTCGCAGCCCGACGCAAAATCTGCGCTCAATCAGTGAGCCACGCTCCGGGGCCCGATCAGCGTCGTCATGTCTCCACGTCTTCCCACTTCACGTCTGCACCGCCGCGCGGCACCATAAGTAATGCCCACTTCGCCACGTCTCCAGGGCGACGTCTGCGCCGGTGACGTCACAGCACGCGAGGGACGGCACGAGACGCGCCGGCCGGGGGCCAGTGGAGCGGAACGGCGCCGGCGGCGGCGTCTGGGCGTCCCCTCGGCCGCGCGCCGGCGCGTGTCCCCCTGGTCTCAGTCGGCCGCCCGCGCAGGGGAGGGGGGTGGGGTCGGCTGGCCGACGAGCGGCCCCCGTCGCCGCTCGGTCGCGAGCCGCGCGGGGTCTCCCGAGCACCGCTGTCGCACACTTCTGCAGAGCGCAGGCTCGGGCGACTCCGGGGCCGTCAGGCTGCGCGCTTGACGTCGATGATACGCTGTGATATTTGCTTTCGCTTAGTCCACTTAACTGCGACGCTCCTCCGTCGGACTTTGCGCGCACTGCTACAGTCGCGCACTCTTCAGATGCGCCTCAGTTGATCGGGACTCACACTGGTGTCGCCGTGACCCACGGAGCTACCAGACCCGTTCCTCACTCACGCATGTCCGCGCCGTGTAACACTTCTGGTCTTAGTCAGACGGCTCACACCGCCTGCACGATGGGGACCCGACACAGGCGATCAGCAGTCGCTTGCAGGTACAGCACAAATGTTCGGTCCACGTGAGGCCACCTATTCAGCGTCGTTGCGCGGTCTCCTCAGGCTCACACTTTGCTCCTTGCGCCGTCCGGTTCCACCGGTCGGCTAGTACTCCCCGGAGACGGCCGAGATGGTGCTCGAGTCGGTGGCGTAGTCCGGGTTGCTCAGGTTCTCGTGGTGCAGCTTGCGCACGCGGTCGCGCTCCAGCTCGAAGCGGCGCATGTGACGCACGATGACGTCATCTAGCGACTCGCGCTTCTGCGTGGCCAGCGCGCGCTGCAGGCGCACGGCCAGGAAGCAGAGCAGGCCGCACGAGATGGCCAGAAAGCAGCCCATCAGCGAGATCAGCACGGCGAAGGACGAGCACGACGACTGCATCCGGCTGGCGGTGACGTAGAACTCTGGCGGCGGGGGTGCCACGTCAGACCGCTGGCGCGGCAGCTGCGGGGTGGGGTTGCTGGATCTCATGTGACACGGCATGGTGTAGCAGTCTGCAGTGCAAGGCTGCTGCATCTCATGGGGCACGGCATGGTGCAGCTGTCTACTGCGCGAGGCTGCTGCATCTCATGGGGCACGGCATGGTGCAGCTGTCTACTGCGCAAGGCTGCCAAACTTCTAGCAAATATCAGACGCGACGGCTGGTCGCGGAAAGTAGCGTTGCCATGGGGAGGGGGGAGGGGGCATGAGCCCAAAAGCCCTCCCCACGGCAACGCCACTTGCCATGGGGAGGGCTTTTGGGCTCATGCCCCCCCCCCCCCCTCCCTATGAAAGTAACGTGGACCCTCGCGGTCGGAATGTCCCAGCTATGTCGGCGACAGGTGCTGTTCTTTCTATTGTCAATATACATTTATTCGACAAAAATATTTCTAAAACAGACTTTACTAAAGCAATAAGGATTTGATTAGTTGTTGCGCTACGTACTGACAAGACGGAGCAGAAGCCACGCTCGGTCTGATTACTCCAGGAGTCCACGTAGCTCTGAGAACGCGACTGCGTTTCAGCTCACCTTCCGGCATGACCACCTTGATGCCGATGTTGTCGCCAAAGCTGGTGAGGTTGCTGCCGGCCCTCTGGCCGCCAGGTGACAGCTCTCTGGTCGACCTGCGGCGCCGACCGTGCCCAGAGGGCTGGAAAAGGTCCAGACAGAAGTCCTGCCGAACAACGCGCGGTGCCGAGTTAGACGGCCTCGCAACAGAACGAACTGAAGAGCTGTACAGACAAGCAGCCAATAATACGGGCCACGCAGTGTCAATAGGCGTGCTCTCGCGAAAGACTTGGCTTTCAGCCACGTTCTCGTCATCATCTGAATTTTCTCCCCGGAATTTCCTGGATTCGAACTGGAATCTTCTAACGACAAGAATGGCAGACCGCTATGGAGTCGTAATCGGAAGAACCCGGTTCGGGTCCCAACAATTCCAAAGAGAAAGTTCGGGGTGTGACAAGTACATGGCCCAAAGCTGAATGCCATCCAGCCATTCCAAACACCCAAATACACCTGATGATGTTATTGGCAGGTGCTATTTGGGGGGGGGGGGGGCAGGGGAATTAGCTGGCTGCAACTGGTTGACAGGGAATTCTATGGCCATAGCGTCTTCATATCAATGCACCAGACGAACACGAATAGTCCGAACCAATATCCCGGCGGATCTTGAACATGCGGTAACAACCAGCTTCAGCTGCAGGCTTGGGACGTGGTCCTGGGTGCCTTATTCAGCCTGTCTTCACAGGCGAAGATCGGGAGATACCACACCCATAGAGTAAACTCGCCCCAGCCCCTCAGCCATCCCCTGCGGGCAAAGCCAGCTGCCGCCGCTCCACGCCGCTCCTCCGCCCTTTCTGGCGCCGCCGCTCCCTCCTCCTCCCGTCCCGACGCCGCCGCTCTCTCCCCGCCCGCCCCTGCGCTGCCACTCTCTCCCCCGCCCGCCCCTGCGCCGCCGCTCACTCCTCCGCCCGTCCCTGCGCCGCCGCTCCCTCCTCCGCCCGCCCCGGCGCCGCCGCTCTCTCCCCGCCCGCTCCTGCGCCGCCACTCCCTCCCCCGCCCGCCCCCGCGCCGCTGCTCGTTCCTCCGCCCGTCCCGGCGCCGCCGCGGCGCACGTACCGGCTTGCAGTCCTGCCGCTGAGTGCAGGCCAGCACCTTGGTATGCAGCCAGAGCTGGGTGGAGTCTTGCTGGTCCTCGCCGTGGCCCAGCAAAAACGCCTCGAGCGTGAGCAGCACCTGGTGCGGCTGGTCGGCCGTCTGGTACGGCTGCGTCAGCACGATCGAAGTCAGCTCCGGATTTCGGCAGCTGGAAGACGTGACCGGTCAGCTTCTCCATCTCGTGACTTACAGGACACTCCGCCCTCCGCGGTCCGCTCGCTGTTGATTCCCAGAGGTACAAAAGCCGGAGAGAATGCTGCCTACAAATACTAGAGGCGCAATGGACATCGTTCAAGGTAGAATTGTACCGAACCTGTCCTTTCATATGTTCTGAAAGGGGTGACGAAAGCCATGTCGTGCTGGCAGGCGCTAACATGTCGCAAATTTCAACAACTGTGAACACAATCGGACGACACCATGATATGCTTCAGCTGAAATGGCAAAGGCTGCTCATTACAGACAACTTTCGGAATGGTCTGTCCAATAGCAGGACAAGTGTCGCGTCTCCATGGCTGGCAGCATGTCTAATTTATTACTCGTCGGCGATACGGTACCACCATTGCATAACCAGTACATGTAACCCCACACGACCAGTGCCTGACATCAGCCGCGAATCAACTGCTAAATAACATGACAAATCAGGATGAAAGCAAAAACCACACCGACGTCGGCGCACTGATATGTTTTTCACGTCTATACCTCATTTTCATCGTGCTTAAATTGACGATCCTGCATTGTCTTGAGTAATTATCTATGCCTGAGCAGACGGCAGTGATAAGATGCACATGTGTGGCGAGGCTCACCTGTCCTTCACCAAAGTCACATATCCTGGAGAGTATGGATCAGACTGGCTGTTCGAAACCGTCACCTCCAGAAGTTCTGCGTATTTCCACACTGGAATCAGAGGATTCCATCCGTCAAGTGCAGGCCAGGTCCTCCGAGAAAAATCTGGTGTGCAAGTGACAGTAACCACGGAAGCAACGATCTTTTCCAACAATCTTACGAGGTGAAAAGGCGGAAACATATCCGGGATGAAACCATTCTGAGGTCGCATCTGACTCAAAACAATTCTAACAAACCATCTGCACGTGAACCGCTGCCACCTTCATGCATCACAAACAAACCCAAGCTCCTCGCGCGCCCGGCGCACGCCATGGGCGACGCGCGCCCTCCGGCCGTCACCGTACCGGCCTCGGTGCTGATTCTGGTGACGAGCTGGAGCCGCGTGCCGATCGGCACCGGCTCGTCCACCGGCACCGTGAACGAGCCGCTGTTGACGCCGCGCTCGCGGTACAGGCCGACCTCGTACTCCAGCCGGCCCGGGGACTCCTCCACGATGCCCGACACGCGCGCCCCGGTCGGCCTGCCGCAGCGGCGCCGCTCGGGTCAGGTCGGCGCGGCGCGGTTCAAGACGGTATGCAACAGGTGGCTTCATTGGTCTGAAAACTGGCCCATACGATCGAACAATGCAAGTAACGTTGCATTTCTTAAGTACAAAAGAGTGGTCTTCTTTGAAATTGAACGCATTTTTAAGTCTTGGGCACCGTGAAAAGATTGACAGGAAATAAGGTACACCAAAACGCCACCACACATCATATATATATATATATATATATATATATATATATATATATATATATATATATATATATATATATATATATATACACATATATACATACATATATATATACATAAGTATATATACATATATATATATATATATACATAAGTATATATACATATATATATATATATATATATATATATATATATATATATATATATATACTTATGTATATATATGTGGTGCTCGCTTCGAGCCTTGGCGTCGCGGGTTTCACCATCGTACTGCGCTGCCGCCGCGGGTGTCAGCACTCACACCCTGCCGGCGAAGGCAGCCGCCCTCTTCTCGACGACGGTGGGCGCTGTGGGCTTGCACATGATGATCACCTCCTGGTCGGACATCATCACCACACCCGGCAGCTGCGGGAACCACAGCCGCACGTTCACGAACCCCTGTCGAGGTCGGTACAGAGGTGTCAGGGCATGCACAGCTAAAATCAGAGAACACCGAAGTGATATGCTTTTACGGTGCGGACATTGCATGCGCAATGGATATGTCACTGAAACCGCGGCTAGCTATGTCCAGTTTTATTTACGAGTTATGTGGCATTTGTAAATTTCAAACGTTCACGCACAAACTTTCTGTGTTCAATCAGCTGGTAAGCCGCAGACAATTATTCATGGCCGTCGTAGCGAGATACGTTCGCGGGTGTGAGCGTACCCTCTCTGTAGCCTGACAACATTTGCATTGTTTGGTTCAGGAATGCACGGCCGACGGCCGAAAAAGATGCGGCCAGCCTGGCGTGAGTACCGTCACCGCTCTGCGTGTGTCTGAGAGATGTCTCAATAGTATTTGGACGCCACATACAATGACGTATATTGTGGTTTGCCGTATCAGCCATCTCGGCGGACTCCGCCGTATTTTTATCATCCTCCTTTCATCTGCCCGGTATGATGACGGCTGCCACGCAAATAAGGCACTGAATGCCAACAGCAGACGGATATAGCTACAGATGGTTTGGTGGTTTGGTCGGTTGTCTCCAAGCCGATCATTCCCCAGAGCCGCTCAAATTGGTCTTGGCGGCCGATCATCCCAGAGCCGCTCAAATTGGTCTTTGCGGTGCCATACGTAGGCGTATGCGCAGAGGGCTAAGGAAATAGTGCGTGGACAAAGCCAAAATAATTTCATGTCGGCATGCTTCAATTCAGTAAGCCTTGTAGACGGGCACGCTTGTTTTAGCAGCCTGCGCATGTTTCTACCAAGCATATTTCAGTAATTACATTGCTTAGTTCCAAAATAAATACAAACATGGAACCTGGGTGCAACACCTAGAGAGACTTGGCAAGGAGGGCATCCTTAATATTCATATCGTATTTATTTGCCTGTGGCCACTCACGGATATAAACAAAGCCTCTTCCCTACCCCAGAGCCTCAGGCTCCTCCCTCCGGATGCTCGATAAGCTCCTTGCCTATGCCCAATGCTGAGGGTTAGCGGCTTTTAAGCATGTACGTCCCGCAAAAATTTACAACGGATAACTAAAATGAACTGCCTCCATAAGCGCGCCTCATCACCGCGGTCACCTGCGTCATATTGGCTGGATGGAGACACAACAGCCCCATTGTGCTACAGCTGAGGCCGGTCGCGGACGGCGGTACGACAAAGCCGGTCGCGTAACGGATCGCGGGGTGACGGTGACGCCTCGCTGCCGCCGCGGTGCGTCACACCTTCGAATCGCCCGCGACTGGGGGGAGGGGGGGGGGAGGGAGGGAGGACAGGATGTCCTGCCGGTGCAGGGCATACAGCACGCGCCCCACCTGCCGGCACGCACCCGCGCGAGCACCGTCCGCGAAGACAAAGGAGCGCCGCGCGGAACACACGGCAGCAAAAACGCAAGCAAACCCGGCGTCGCCTCGGCCTGCACGCGCTGCGCCATTCGCTGCCGGCTTCCCCGGGCGACAGCGCGCTGCCGGCGCCGCCTGCCCACGGCCCGAGACGGCGGCAGCGCCACTGACCCCGGCTGAACCGGCGGCCGTGCAGGGTCGTTGCCGTCCGGCCGGCGGCGCGGTGCAAGGCCCCAGGAGCGCGGTTACGGCCGACAGCGGTCTGGCCGCCGGAGACAAAGCCGGAGCTGCGACCCCCGGGCCCCCGGGCTGGCGCGCTGGATGGCTCTGTTGTCTGAGGTGGACACCTGGCCGGCCCGTGACGGTCTCCGGCGGCGGGGCGGCGTCCGTCACGGTCTGCGTTACGTACGACTCCGTATTGTTTGCGTGTTTGTTGCCCTCACAGCGAGCAGGAAGCAGGTGTAGCTGGATTGTACCAAACATCCCGGCATCAAGTTATAACATCATTCCAGTTGTCGTTTGACACGTATTGCTGCTTGAGATGGGGCTGAAGGTTTACATGTCAACACTGTATGGTGAATGTAGAATTACTTTGCGGAGGCTCAGGAGTCCACCGCAGCATATATATTAATGTGTGACCGGGGAAACGAAGATGCTAAAATGGCGCGGGGAGTACAAACTTCGATATCATGGATCTGATGCTGATGGATCATGGATCATGGATCATGGATCTGATGCTGCCACAAATCTCTCGCACGCTATAATGTTATTTGGACACGAAACGTTCTTCATAGACCTGATCTGGCCTGGGAGCCTGGGCACGACGTGGAGTCCTCAGTCTCGCTAAAAGGTAATCATTGTACCTATATGGATTAACTCAGCCGTCCGAGAAGGTCAAGGAGCCTTTGGCCACCAGAACAGATCGTACTTGCATACTGTGTGTAAACATTTAAACTGGCTTTACTTATTTGGGGACCACTGTTTAATAATTCAAGCGATGACATCTGAGATCAGGAACACTCCTGGCTATTCCTTATTATTCTTCCTCGTCCACGTCCTTCCTCGGCCACGTCTACGTCCTTTCGCAATTCATGCAGATGCCTGCGTACAGCACGCGCCCAGAGATATAGTCATCACTCACTCGATGGAAACAAGTATCTGCACAGAGCTGCTTTCAGCCAGCGCCGGATCACGACTTCCCGGGAACATTATCCGCTCGTGGCGAGCACACCGGGCCCGAGCTACGCTCCTCACTCCGCTGGAAGCGTGGGTTCCGCTCCGGAGCCGGCGCCGAGAACGGTCCTCGTCACGGCCCGTGGAAGACCGCGCCGGCTTGCTCATTGCGCAACAGCACGGGCCCACGAAACCGTGTCCGATCAGCATGAAACGCGTCGATCCGGTGGGCACCCGGGACGACTAGTCTGGGATAAACGTCTGTCGATACCGGCAACGAAGGCAGGCGCTACCGGTACGTACACCAGGCTTCTGGACTGAAATTATGCGTTTCAACGTACGAAAGATTGTTGCCGCGTACGTTGAGGCCGGCGGCACTACGAGACTTGTACGGTACCCTGAACATCAGACAGGCCACCTCCCACGCTGCCATTTGCAGTCAAGCACCGTTACCAGGGGCGGAACTTTATGCAGGTGAAGTCTACATATGTGGAAACGTTCCTGGCTCCAAGCCCACCTCTTTCGAGAAACAACAGAGATCTATCAGACCCAGCCTACTCGTGACGTTAACTGTTGCCAGCCTGGCGGAAACTTTGCTAAAATGTGCATTAACACATGGCACAGCTCGGTCCGGGACATGACATTTGTCCGTAATTTTACGGCGCGATCGAACAATTGCCGACACTTTACTTGAATAACAACACATTACGACTGGGCATTGGCAGGAGAATGCAAGATGTATCATTCGGACGTGTGGAAAATGTCCTTTGGAGCAGGCGTAATTACATCCGGTTTCTGTGGTGAATACAGTTGCCATGACCTGTGAAGTGAAGCTTTTACGGGAGGGCTGGTGTGCTGACGTCATCAGCACGGGCCACGGCAGGGACGGGAGGGCTGGTGTATCGACGTCATCAGCACGGGCCGCGGCAGGGACGGGAGGGCTGGTGTGCTGACGTCATCAGCATGGGCCACAGCAGGGACGGGAGGGCTGGTGTGTTGACGCCATCGGCACGGGTCACGGCAGGGACGGGCGGGCTGGTGTGCTGACGTCATCAGCACTGGTCACGGCAGGGACGGAAGGGCTGGTGTATTGACGTCATTAGCACGGGCCGCGGCAGGGACGGGAGGGCTGGTGTGCTGACGTCATCAGCACGGACCGCGGCAGGGGCAGAAGGGCTGGTGTACTGACGTCATCCGCGTGGATCACGGCGCTACCCACAGGCTGCCGCTGTTATTATTTTCTGGGCATTCTGTTAATTACGTTATTATTATTTTCTAGACCGACGCCTTCAACACGTCAGATCATTTGCCGCCAACGTCTTTCGCGCCGACTTCCGCGGAGCACAATGCAACTCTGAATGGGAGCGAGGCTCGAACCCCACTCCTTCCGGTTGCGAGGCGAACACTCCCGACGGAGCTGCGCCGCCGCAGTTGTCACAGGCTGCCGGGCGTCGGGTTCGACGGCCGCTGCCGGAGCCCGGATGGAACGCCGTCAATCGGCTGGAACCGGTGCTCACGATGCCAATCAACGCCACGCAATCAGCGGTTCGGCGCCGGTCACGAGCGTTGCACCCGCGGCTGCGATCCGGCCGGTGGGAGCCGCGCGGTGTGCCATCTGGGGGCGGCCTGGCGAAACAGGGCCTCAGTGTGTTAAAGTTCTGGATTTTCGGCGGAAAATGACATCCTTACGGACCATTTAAGACCCGCAGTCTCGAACCCCCTTCGCTTTTTTTGTCTCCTATTCGTGGATAATTACATCACGTCAACATTTTACGCGCGTTATCTTGGCGTAAATAAAGCAATGCTGTACCAATCCATGATTCCTTACATATGCTCTATGGCCAAAGTACCACGTCTTTTATATTCATCCTTTTTCCGGCCAGAGATCACAGCAAAAAGGCTGCAACAGAAACTAGCATCAAATGCTGGCCTTCATAAATTAACTTAACTTTCGGCTTGCTGAAACGAAGGCAAACAGTGAGGCCGAATTAACATTCAAATTTCTAGCGGAAATATTTAAGAGCTATTGACAATTACTGCGCCAGAAATAGGTGTGCACTTTATTTCATTATGTTTTCAATAATTTTTATTTAATCGATTGTGAAAGCTCACTTCGCTACTTTTATTGCAGGACTCGTTCAAATATTTCGGCACCAGCCGGGGCCCCACAGGAGTGCTCGAGAGCCAGAAATGGTATGCGATGTTCCTAGTTCGTCGTGGGTGTCGAAAGCGACAATGATGCAGACTTAAATGTATTTGGTACAGCGCATCGATCAATTGTCTTGCACTGAACCTAAGTTATTGAGGCGTTGTTTGTTAAACACTCGCAGCATAGACGACATTCTTGCATTCCATGCGCCATGTGCGGCCCGGTTGGAGGAGACAGAAATGGCAGCCCGAACTAAGCTAGCTCGCAATGCTCTCAAGTCATTTGGTAATCGAAACTTGCTGGCATTCTAGATTTATAGAAATACATATTTGCTTTAGTATGGGTGATTCCTGTAGCATTAATCAAGATGTCAATCAGCAAAAGTGGTATGTAAGACGACGACACTAGAGAATGCGTGAGAACAAGTGTTTAGTGCGGATGTTCTCAGTGTCAAAAAATTCAGTGTTGCGAGCGGGAAATGAAACATCTATGAACGACCTCAACCCCTCAGCTTCGGATTCTTTCCGGAGGTTTGCATGATAATGGTGATAATGCTCTGCGCCCGTGATATCGGAGTCTTCCATTCACACGTATACTACATTTTTCCGTTGATTTTAGTCTTCCTCGGTGCTTCCGCTAAGACATTGCGGTATCCCAGGCCATTTTTACTCGGGCAGTTTTGACGCACTGCCCGTGGTCGCCCGGAAACCCCATTCGGCCTCCGGAGGGCTGCTAGGCTACCGAAATCCGATGTCATTGCCGCACGCCGAATGGCAAGGATGCATGTTAGATAGTGTATGGTATGAGGTGCTTAAGGACGATGACATTGAAAGATATGCATTGGTATGTTGTGAAGGCTACGCAAGCCCGTGATATCTGTAATATGTTTCCCAGATATGTCAGGCCGCAACACGTACTATGAGATACCCAGACACAGGTTAAGCAATCCGCTCTCCTTTTCTCTATCACCGTTCCATCTTAATCCCTCGCAACAAGCAAACTTCGGATGTCAGCCGTGGGTCCTGGTAAGAGCCCGCCCGAGCGCCTGCGCAAACCACCCTTACCAAATTTCGTATGTGAGTAGGTGTCGACTGTTAAAAAATTGAAGAAGACTTGAATAAAAACTACATTGAAAAGTGTGACTTCGCTGGCACCATGCAAAAATCGAGCGCATACGGCGCGCGTAATGTGTTTTCTTCGTGACAAGAATGGAGCTCTACCCCCCATTGCAACATCCTGCATACACGCTCAAGCGGATGTCTCTTAGATGGCCACCGTCCTGCCCACCACCTTCCTCTCTCCCCATAATCCCTTGGCTATGAAATGGCCATTGTTGGCCAAAACAGCTCTAACCAAAACGAAACTAAAACAGGTCTAAGCCATTAGGGGCCTATTCCTGTCGTGAAAATGGCTACTGGGTCTTGATGAAAACTGATGGCTACGAGCTGTCTCTTTGTTTTGGCCAGCCGCAATATACCGGAGAACTGAAAAATCATTCTCACGAGGGATTTTCTCAACGTAATGTCGGCAACACGTGGATGCTCAATCTAAATTTATTGCGATGAGTCACAGCTCACAAGGATATGCCACTATTTTTATGAGACCTTCATACGCGCTGCGCCTCAGGGCGATATCACCCCAGCGTACCACAATATGTTATGCAAGACGCACGCATGGCCACAGTTTTCACATAAATTAAATAAACTTTGTTCATTAGAGACACGAAGAAGTTTGAAAAAACGGGCAAGAACGCTTCGTAGTTGTAACCCTTTTCATACGAAACCCCGCGTATGCGCAGCCAAAGGGGAGGGGCAGGCACTTCCCATAATGTCGTGTTCTTATCTTTTAGCACCATTGATAGTTCCTGAGAGAAAGTTAAAAATCAGTGCGCTGGTTTGCCACTCAGCTTCAGGACCCCCCCTTGACAGAATCCTGGCTGCGCCCCTAGTACTGTGAAAACGAAGTCGCTTGCTCGCAGAAGCGGTAGAGAAGCTTGTTAGATACCATTGGTCTCCAACGATGACGGATTCCGGGAAGTTTTATTTCTGAACATTATTTCCCTAACAACGACACCTCACCGCTGGAGCCGGGTTTATCAGCGCCTCGGTCTCCACCGTGTGCTGGCCTCCCCGGCTGTCACGTGACGCCAAGCGCGCCGTTCTGCGTAGCTTCCGTCTTTTGCCGTGCGTCGCGCTCACTCTGCCGCACGCTTGTTACACATCACGCGAACTTTGCTCGTGAGGCTAGCGAAGAGGGTGGAAGTAAAACATGACACAACGGAAGAATGCGTTGCACTTTTAATCTTTCCATCCAGAGATTTGAAGGCTGAAAGGCAATGTGGGTGTGCTGAAAGCAGGGCACGTCGGATGCTGGGACTCATTAACAGGATTGTCCATTACAAGAGCAGAAATGCTATCAAAAAGTTGCACTTAGCTTATGTCAGACCACATCTAGAGTACTGTGCGCAGGCTTGGTCCTCTTGCTTCCAAAAACATATGGATAGGCTGGAGAGAGTACAGCGAAAAGCGACTAGGATAATAGGTGCGACTGGCAGCTTAGAATATAAGGATAGGCTTAAGGCCTTGTGCTTGTATTCGCCGACATAACATAGACTTTTAGAGAGGATCTGATATAGGTACTCAAGATTATGAAAGGGATAGACAAGATAGATCTGCAAGGAGCGCTGGAAATCAGGCCGAGCCTTAGAGAAAGCTAATTTCAATTAGCAAAAGGTAGGAGTGGAACGATGAAGAGGTGGATGTCATTAGTCAAAGACAAGTGAGCCGTTGGAATGAACTGCCAAACGAAGTTGTAGGAAGTTCCTTCCTGGCAACATTTAAAAGAAGGTTTGGATAAGTTCTATAGGACCTCTAATCTATCTATTCTAAGGATCTCATTTAAAGCTGCATTCAGGTAGGTCAGGTGGTAAGATTAGTTCAAGGATGGGCGTGAAACCTAGGGTAGGCCAACCTCGAAAGGCCCCTGTGGCTCTTTGTTGGTCTGTTGTCTACATGCTTGTAATATGCTTACATGTCTACTTGTTTGCATTCAACCACGCACACATGCCATTGCTTGCTTGGAAAAGAAAGAAAAAATCTTATGAGGTCCAATTAGTTCCGAGCAATGGCGAGCGTCATTCTGGGCATTGTTTCCCGATGCCAACACTGCCCACCGGACTCTTGCCTCATCAGCGTCTGGGTCTGAACGCCCCCACCCTCGTACACATCACTGATGAAACCCGACGCAGCTGTCTCGGCTCATGAACCTCGCTCGTAGCGCGAGGAGCCTTTGGGTGGCGCCTTTGAGGCAGCGGCACCCTTCTCCGAGAGGCACCGACGGACGGCCCCGTCACGCGTCCCAGCGGCCCCGTCAGAGGCGCCCACGGTCCCAGCCCGGCCCTCCTCATTCCATGAACGGCAGGCGACGGCGGCGGCGGCGCCGCTACACGTGCGCACCGGCGCCAGAGCCTGACCGGCCTCGCGGTTTCTGCTGCCCGCGGTGCGACCGGGCCATCAGCCGGCGACGCTCCGCCGACCCCCGCACCCGCACGAGGTCTCGAAGCGGGGCTGGCGGGGCCCGGCAGCGGTGCAGCGGGGTGCGGGGCGGAACGTGCCTGCTGCATCGTGCCATTGTGCCGGTAATGGTGGAGCGATCATCGCGGGTTATTAAGGCATGCCGCGTCACCGCCGCTGGCATGACACTTGGGCTCGCTCCAAATGGGGAGCTGCGGGGACCGAGGCGCGACCGACGCGCGTACTTGTTACGCGGGAGCTCTGACCGAGACACAGAAATGGATCCCGACGCGCGATGGGAGATGTTAAAGACTTCTACGATCCGCTGCGGTGTGGAGCGGAACAAGCCTCTGCTCCTCGGATACACGTCAAACTGAAAATGAGTCACGAAGTTTATGAATGAATCATGTCGTGGCGTGCAGACAGCGGACGCCTTATTTTTCGTCATTCAACGGAGGCATGGCGGCGGCTGGATATTGGATGCCGTCCGCACAGATCCGTCCGAGTCTGTCCGCCCATTTCCCCGCGGCGAGCGGCCGTGCATCTTCGCCGACCTCAAGCCGTGCCCCGGCGAGCGCCGGCCGGTGCCGGGCCCGCGGGCCTCCAGAGCCGAGCCTGACCGTGAGCCGGAGCGTGGCCGGACAGGTGGCCCGGCACGCGCACCTGGTGTCATCAGCCGGGGCAGCGAGCCGGGGCTGCCGCCGTCCGCTCGGCCGCCGCGCTCCACCAGACGTTCGAATCGGACGCAGGCGCGGTGCGCTGGAGCGGCTCTATTTAGCGCGGTGCCAGCCACCACCCGCCGCGCTGATGCATATACACATGTTTGCGTTGTTCAGGTCTGGGCGCGTGCACATACATGCATGCACGCTAGCGCGCATAAAAGGGTTTAATGTGGGCCAAAGCGACCTCATGTAATCACAAGGTTAGGCAATTCGGCTCAGTGGTTTAGAAGCCGGCGTGGTGCAAATACCCGACAGGAAGCAATCTAGACGGGAAGCCCAGCATGTGCAAATTACGGAACAGATTGCAACCTCCTAAAGCGGAGAAACGCTTCGCCGGGCCTCTAAATGCGGCGGTCGTCCCAGTAAACTCCGAGCCCACCGCCCGTTCTAGCGTACCCCAAGTCCGCTGCCCGTTCCAGCGTACTCCGAGTCCGCCGCCCGTTCCAGCGTACTCCGAGTCCGCCGCCCGTTCCAGCGTACTCCAAGTCCGCTGCCCGTTCCAGCGTATTCCGAGTCCGCCGCCCGTTTTAGCGTACTCCGAGTTCCCCGCCCGTTCTAGCGTACTCACATTGCGCTTAAGCACCCCGCAGCGCTTGAAGTCGGTGACGAGCATGTTGTAGATGAGCTGGTCGGGGTCGGTGGGGTCGGGCACGATCTGACAGCTGGAGTCGAGCCGTGGGTCCAGCTGCCGGTCGTCGGCGAACAGCGGGTAGCCGCGGAAGCCGGCCGGCTTGCGTAGCCTCGCAGACAGCCGGTCCGTCTCGCCGCCGTTGCCGACGAAGCTACAGCTGATGTCGGCCACTAGGGGCGGCCGCGACCGGTCAGGGGTCATCGGTGCGGGTCACGGACAGGTCACGAGGTCGCAGTCTCAATGTGGGGTACGGGACAGTAGTTATGGGGTGAGCTATGGGGTTAATTGACGGGATCGGGTCATGGGTTCAGGGGTCGCGAGGTGGGTCAAGAGGTGGGGCATAGGTCAATTGTCACCTGACAGTGGCTCGTCACGGGTCATGGAGCACTTACCATGGTAGTGAATGACAGGACGGGTCACGGGTCAAATTTCACGGAGCTAGGGGTCGTTGATAGGTCACAGGTCATCGGTCACAGATCGTGGGCCATAGGTTAACGTCACATACAGAGGCCACATAAATGATGGGCAGCCATGAGAGAAGGCCACACGACTCGAGTGAGAAGCATAGGTCACACTCACACGCCATGTTACGGGTCACAGATCACTGCCGCTGCGGTTTGTCACGAGCATCATAACAAACATCGGTCATGGACCATAGGTCACAACGACGATATTTCACGTTCTGTCACGGGTCAGTCGTCACGGTCGCAGCCGGAGCCGAACACCCGTTTGCTGATTGTGACACCGTCCTAGTTAAGCCATCTGATAAGCGTTCGCTGACGAGTGCAGACACGCGACACCATGCAGGCAGACGTGCTGGACTCGTCAGCGCAGTCCGCGCTCACGGGGGCTGCTCTTCTCCGGACAGTGCTGCTGTACTCGGGAGCATACTGATTTTTAATTTTATATATTTATCACTGTTATTATATATATATATATATATATATATATATATATATATATATATATATATATTTGCAAGTGCATTTGCAAATATTGTGTCAGACTTTACGATCTGGTGTAATTAGCTTTGGGCTTGGTTTTATTTAACTTAATTCTTAAGCGCACGCCATTTCGAAATATTTGTCAGCATTAGCTGTCGTCATGGAGTATGTTAAATCATGGTAGAGTTATTTGGCAGCCAATACCTATTTGCTGCGTTGGAAGGATAACTAACACCATCACGAATGTGATGTCAGTGAGCCAAAGCGCAGATGACATGATACGAGTGTGTAGCGACTTACCTTCATAGTCTTGTCCTTCTGCCATCGCCAACTGCAACACAAGACACAATGAGAATCGCTCACATGAAGTGGTAGCAAATGCAGTGTCTGCATCTTATGACCAGGATGGTGGCGTTGTGCTGCGTAAATGTCCCGCTACGACTCCGCGCTTATGATCATTGTATTTCATTTCAATCGCACGATGTTTTTCTGCAGTCAGTTACATTCGCACCGATCTTGCTAGAATGGTCCGCATTTCGTTCAAGCTGTTTTATTTGTTAACGATCACATATTTGCATGATATATTTGAAGATCACATACTTGCCTTCCGGTGTGGAGTCTGGTTTTGCTGCACGGGAGTTTTTTTTACCCAACTGTCACAATTTCATAAATCCAATAGTAATCAACGCGACCTAGCCGAATTTAAGCGACAAACCCACGGCATAAGGACAGCACGGTACTGCGGACGGCTGCCCCACAATTTTGGAGCAAGCTGGCATTAGTCATATGGGGGCGCGTTATATGACATGGATCAAAAATAGCCACCGCTGCTGAATTTGCCTCCAGGTTGTTCGCTCATGGAAGACGCCGCTGCTCATCAGACTGTGAGCTCAAATTAGGCTCCAGGCCGACACGTGGCCTCGGACGGACGACCGCCGGAAGCATAGGGGCTGAACCGTCTATGAGGACCATCATTTAGGCCATTGGACTGTTAAAGAATCTCTTACGATTAAAAAAAAAAATGGAACCCAGTTAGCAAACAGTAAACGAGCTTTGGTATGAAAGATCCAGTGCTCAATATCACATTTCCAGGAAGCCCACAGTTTTCCTGATTTCTTTGAAACGCTCATTTAGCCCACCAGCCGCTGTATGAAGGAATGTGCGTTGTCTGCTAAAAACCGACGGTTAAACTGACCGCATCTGGTATTTTGCCAACCGAATCTGTATGCAATATAGAACCATCCTCGACATAGCTGAACAACTCATTGACATGGCACGCCCAATCGTTATTTCTTGCGCGTCGTCTACACATCTGGCGTCGAGTCCATAATTCGGGTAGTAGATCGCTTAATTTTGGGGGGCTCTCAAAAGCTACTCGACTTTGTCGCCACTTCGTCCCAAATGAGCGACAGCTGCAGTATTCATTATAACTATCAAGCCGTTGGTTGAAATCAGACCGTAAGAGATGAGACAGCCGGGAGCTGCGACTGCCGATGCGGAGGGGTGGGGTGCACCAGGGTGCTCGCCAGCCGGACGTCCCACAGACATCCCATCCCACCATCCCACACCTCACTGAAGGGAGCGTGCGCCGCCTCTGAAGCGGCGCACAGAGCTGCAGAGCACTCACCGAGATCTTCGCCAGCAGCAGCAGCCACAGCAGCGGGCCAGACATGGCGTCGGCGGCCCCGTCAGTCGTACGGACTGAGGTCGGAGAGGCACTCGAGCAAGTCCCACGCTCCTCCAGCAGCGCCGAGCGCCGACGCTCCCTCGCCGCCGCCCGCAGTCCGGCACAGCGCCGCAGACGGGCGTCCACCTCTGGCGCCCGCTCCCAACACTCGGACCCGTCGGGCCTGCCTACCCGCCGCTCGAGACTCGCTCAGAGGTCGCCCGCCGCGCTACGGATCACACCAGGTCAGGTTCGGGTCGCGCCGGGCGACGCGGCAGACGCCAGGGTCACGTCACCGTCGGAGAGACGCCGGCGGGTCACGCTCACGCCGAGCTGGCACCCCACAGGTCACCGAGGGGTCGTCACACCGCGCGGACGGAGAGCAGCGACGGCGGTGGCGGCCGGCGACGGAGGGGCACGCTCAGGTGGTGGCGGGGTCGGCCGGCGACTGAACCCGCCGCCGCCGTCACGTGCCGATACACGCCGTGGCCATGCGACACGTGACGTCATCGTCCGACAGCCGGAGGGCAGCGGGCTGGCCAGACCCGAGATTACAGCACCCGGGGAGGCCCGGGGACCGGAGCTGCAGGAGCCGGAGAACCAGGAACTGTAGCAGACCGGCGGACCGGGACTGTGGGAGCCGAGAAAACCGGGGGATGCAGGGGCCGGAGCTGCAGGAGCCGGAGAACCAGGAACTGTGGTACGCCGGCGGACCAGGACTGTGGGAGCAGAGCAGACCGGGGGATGTAGGGGCCGGGACTGCATGGGCCGGAGGGGCAAGAGGCTGCAGGGGATCGAATGGCCCTGGGACTGGAGGTTCGAGGGCCAAGCGAGCTTAAACAGCGGGGACCGAGCGATCCGGGACAACAGGAACGGTCGCCCGCGGGCTCAGCCCTGACGGGAGTCTCGTGTATCGGCGCTGCCGAGCGACCTAGGGTTACAGGAACTGTCGGCCGCTGGCTCAGCCCTGACGAGGGTCTCATGTACCGGCGCTGCCGAGCGACCCGGGGTTACAGGAACTGTCGGTCGCGGGCTCAGTCCAGACGAGATTCTCATGTACCTGTCGTTGTCGGTGGCGGCTGCATCTAACAGTCTGAGGCACGGCTAAAGAAGGCTCCAGGGGGCCCTGTCCTGCCCGGCGTATGGGCATATAAGGCCTTGCTTATGAACCCAGGACCCTGATTATCATGGTGTGAATGGATGATGGTGTGATGGATGGTGTAGAAAGGTTGTCATGTCATGCACCTTAAATTCCATCGCTTTAAATTAGTTTAACCCAAATTCCGCCATAATCATAGAATGTAGGACAGTGGCGGTTCCAGGATTTCCTCAAGGGGGGGGGGGGGGGTATGCAGCATGATCAGGTCCCCTGGGGTTTGGGATCCCTCCAAAAATCCCCGTGTTCCACCCATTGTATTTTAATATTCTTATGTAACCTAGCTATTATACGGGACACCGCCTTCCTTTGCACATGCCAAGAAAACTAAGCGTGCTTCGTATGCACACACATGGAGCGCATTCATTTTCTCCGGACCAGGGTGGATCCTATCAGGTTGAGGCTAAGTATGATGAGAGTATGTATGAAAGAATGAATTAAAATTGACTGTTGAGTAACATCAAAACCAAGCATGACCAATGATTCCAAGGATATGTTCGGCTAACCACCTAGCCGATGTAATTATCTGATGACTTATATCATAAGTAGCAATGCCTTTCTTGAAATCATAATCCAATAAAACAAAACTGCACTCGGGGATATTTTTGCAAAAATCTACATAACTGCAACCTTACAATGTTATAAGGCTTAGATCTGCAAGAAGGTTGGTTTTATCGGGATCTGGAATTATAGACCGATATCAATCTTTCAGATTGGTTTGATAGACGGCGGCCAACAGTTGGGAGTCATGACCAAGAGCAGATCAAGCTCGTTTCATCGGGTGCGAAGGTACGTAGACTCAAATGAAAAATTGGGTCACTTATGCTTCTACGAAAAGCCTGATTCATGCGACTCTTCACAGCAGATATGCCTCAGCAAATTTGTGAGGTGAAACATCCTTAGCGCAAATCCGTGTCTTATTACCCCCGCAACGGATCGCGTCGTGATGATGCACAGTATATTCATGCGGGTTGAAATATTGGCATGAAGTAGTTATCGTATCATGGACATGTACATCACACCATCCACGTAACCTGATCAAACAAGGTGCAACCCAACTAAGCAATACACAAGCAAACCTGACAGAAATATCCAAACAAAATCCGCCCGCATAACCAACGAACAATAAACAAACCAGGTTTTATCGTTGTACGCAGCGACTTCCAAACACGCTTCCTTCCTTTCAGCTTAAATGGCGATTTTACAGAGCTGTTTGCAGTAAGTGGCTGATCGTAATGCACAATATGACTAACGGTGAGAAGCGCAAGTCATTAAGCTCAAACACTTTATGGGCAGTTGTGTGAGTTATTATCATATTCGCTCTGCAGAATATGACATGAATATATGGACCCTCGGACGCCTGGCCTACGGTTGGAAGTACTCGCTCCGATTCATGAAATGCCTTTCTAACTGGGTAAGTAGGTCCATCGAATTTCCCATGCCTTACAACTGATCAATTTGACACTATCGTGGGAAGAGAAAGCTTGACATTAGGCTACGTAACTGGTTATGATTTCATCAGCACACCGTAGATGAGCTTTACCATCGGATTCAATGATTCGCAGTTTCTATCGGTCTTTTTTGTGTAAATATCGTTAGTTAGTTTTGATGTCGTTCTTGGACTGGTTGGGCTGTCCGCCAGCTAGGGTTAGCCAAACCGTACCAGGCTACACCATGTTGTCATCAGAGGTCATGTTGGGGCAGCTCACGTGTGTGAGCTTGAGAGATCTGTTACGCCATTTCGTGATAAACAAGCCACAACCCTACTTAAAATACGTAGATGCAGCCAAATTCAACTGTGAAATATGGCCTACACAAACACATATCCGCCACAGATACGTACAAACCCGCTAAATGTATTCATCACAAAAGAGACAAGAGGAGAAGAAACAACTTCGGGTCGCCCTTAGGGCCGCGATGTTGGGATGCGGATAATTGCGCATCGCGTGGCGCGATTGCTCCGCGGAGAGGACGTCTGACAATTCTGACATCTCCGCGACACTCCCAGATAGGCAAATGACGTCTGGCGGGGACTGCCGGATCTGTATAGTAATGCCGCATGGCGGCCGGGTGCGGGGTATCTGCATAATTGCCGATGCCATGCCGGCGCAACGGATGGCGGCGGCGCCCGCCGCACAGCTACCGCCGTCCCGCGCCCGGCCCGTCCTGATGTGGGACGGACTGGCGGACAGCCGCGGCGCTGGCCGCACGGTTACCCCGCACGGAGACCTTTACAGATCATTTGAGGGGGAGCGGAGACGGGAATTGGTCACTTTATTTCGTTTGCTTGTATTTCTTCGGAGTGATTTTCATGCATTTTTTAGCAAGCGTAAACGATTTTCAGGTAAAGTGGAAGCACCGTCATTTAACACTATATAAATGCATGCTTGTATGGAACTGTAACTCACCAAGAATGTGCTGTAGATATGTCCACTCAACCAAAGAGCCAGGTCGTCTCACCTCCTAGGTCACATTTCAATGACGCAATAAATCAACCTCTTGCAACAAATTTGATTCCTCGAACTTTTTTCTTTGTTTGTGCTTGCTGCATTCGGAGTGTATCTTGCGTATGAGTCGCATTTCATGTTATGAGCTCATAGCAGCGCAAATTAAGTCCCAGGTGATCCCAGTTCACGTGGATATGAGGTGGTCTAGTAAAGTGCCGAACACGATTCTAAGTTCCAAGTTCTGTTTCATATCCATGCACAATAAGGAGAGCCTGCGTCCCGACGTTACAGGAAATGTTTTACAATTGAAGTTATTAAAGCGAGCATCAATATGATGAAACAAGACCACTTGTAACTATCGGCATACTTTTTAAGTGGAAACAACTTCTCTGGAGAGCGCAATTTTCCGTTTAGTGTATATGCTCCTCAATGTGTCATGGTTTGATTACGTCATCGTACTTTATATAACATTGATTGAGAGCCAATTGACGACCGTTATATCTGAACATGGCGCTCACGACTACCAGATATGAGCACCTCGGCAATCAGACTTTTGGCCTTGATCGCTACATGGCTTATGGATGGGCAGAATTTGAATGGAGTAATTATGACGTCATGAATGCCGAGGTGACTTCGAGATACTCTCCTCGATATACCTTTCCCCATCTTGCGGGCTCAGAGAGATACACCTTTTATTTAGCTCATAACCTAGAGGGGTCCTGAGAAAGGCAGGGCTGCGAACAGCACCGGAAGGGCTTCAAAATGGCTATTTCGGTTCCCAACCCCATACAAATGTGGAACATTCCCTTTAGGTAAAAGTGCGTCGTAAGTCTGTCAAAGCTCAATTCCATCTACAGTAGATCCCAGGTCAAGTCAATTGTATTCACAATTGCTTGGCGTTGCATCGTAGGCATCATAGCATAGACACGTTTTTTCTGACCTGCTTGCAAAATCTGGCTCATAAGGCATATATCTATCAATTTCCTCATTTGGCAGGAGCTGTATTCAACGTCTTGACGTAAACAGACCCTAGGGACAAACATGTCCTGACGACACGAGTTGAACAGAAGCTGATATATTTCGTACGTAGTTCCACCCATGTACGCATATCGTGCATCATGTATTAATGGCAAGGCAATGGGATGTTTGGAGTGTGTTTGAGCACGGCACATTGCAAACAGCAGTGCACCTTTGTAAAATATGTGTGTGTGGGATGGAGGTGGGTCGGGATAACTGCAGGAAAATGTGCAAGCCTGCCGCAAAATATTCCAAAGAATCGTTTCCTCCGGAATTTGACCCACTTGCCCTTCAAAGTTGGGAGTCTTAGCACCCCCCCCCCCCCCCCTCCACCTTTCCAACACACTCTGACACCATTTATTCCGAACATTTGGATTTGACGTGGCCTAAAATGGTGCTAAGTCCATAAATTTACTCACGGGAACATCCATCATTTGAATCCTGGATGATTTTCAATCACACCACCTCATCATTGGCACTTTTCATTTTGACTCAGTCGATCATGGCAATAAATTTGATTGGATCCGTGACGTCGAGTAATATTTGCCCCGATCTATGACGTCATTAATGCACATAGGCAAACAATCTGACGCGCACGAAAATTATGGGATCCTTGGGTACCTTGCACCGCTTAAATTACCCCTATACGTGCGCTGATTGGTTCCAGAGACGTTCAGGGAGAGCGTCAAACGCCCAGCGAATAGAGGGCAGGCGCGTCCTGTCATGGATAATACATGATGGCGGGCGAGCCGCGGGGCGAAGTCGCAAAACGCAAGATGAAAGCAGAACGATGCCGCAAAGAAGCAAAAG